ACTTGCTCCTGGGGGCGGAGAAGACGCTGGGCCGCATGGTCGCCGAGAAGAAGTCCGGCCTCTTCACGGCGCTACCCCTGGGAGAGGTGCTTTTCTCGCGTCACTTCACCTCGTCACGACAGGTGAACCCGTTTCCGCCACGACAAAGCCGGACGTCGACCAGGTTGTTCGCGGCAGAGGACGGCACCTTGTCAAAGGTTACTCGGGTGATACCCGAGCCCCAGCGCATGGTCACTATGATCGACGCTTTCGAGGCCTGCAAGTTCGCGTTCATGTTCGCTCGGTGGGGGCCGAACGCCGATGTGTGCGTATACTTCGCGTTCTGGGAAGACCTCACACGCGACAACGCCAGCAGGTTCGCCCAGATACGCCAGTTTTGGAAGAAGGCGTCCTGGGAGATGGCCATGGCCTTGCGCTCAGGCAAGACGTTCGCACAGGCAGCAGCGGAGGTCACCAGTCCGCAGGCAAAGCAGGACGTCATGAGCAGGTGGGCCCTTCCCGACCGACCCACCAAGGGCAACGAGAAAGGGGGCGAGAAGGGTGAGAAAGGCCCCGGCAAAGGCGGCCGACCCTCTCCGTACTGGTCGCACCAGAGTCAGCAGCACCAGCAGACGTGGTCGCAGAACCAACAGCAGGACGTCCCCAGTGCAGACTGTTCGCAGCAGGCTACTGCCGGTTCGGAGCGAGCTGCAAGTTCGCACACGGCAACCCGACGCAGCAGCAGAGGACCGTCCCTCCGCCCCCGTTCATCTAGGGACAGCTCGGACCGCCTCAGCCGTCGGGGGCGACACGCGCTGCCAGCATAGACGGTAATCCCACCCCTTGCCGCCCTAAGTCCTTATAATCCCGAACCCGTGCTCCGCCTTTGGCGCCCGTACCCGTAATCCCTGTCAACAGGTTAGATTCTCAGGTGCCGAGTCGTTGCAGCAACCAGGTTCCAACACTGCCACCACCGCCTGCGTCCGCCATGGACCTGACTAAAGACACAACGCAAGAGCGCGGCGTCCGAGCTTCTGTCAGCTCCGCCGCGAGCCATACCGCAGTTTTCGCCACCTCCTCCCCTCCCCGGCCGCACCACAGGTACAGGTACAGGTGAGCCCGACAAAGGGGCCCGCACGCCAGTCGTGCTCACCCCCAACCCTGCAACACGGGCGTCGACGTCTCACGTGACTCCGCCCGAGCAATCCCCGCAACACGCGTCGCAGCCTCTTGTGGCTCCGCGTCATAACCTCTCCCAACAGGCGTCGCAGCCTTATGTGGCTCCGCCTGGCGCTAGCCCTCAGGCTCTCGCCAATCCAGCACCACCACAGTTACAGCAATCTCGCTTCCCGGTCGCAGTTCTCAGTTTCTTTGACGGCGTAGCCACCGCTCTACACGCCGTTAAGAGCTGGGCCATACGGCCGGTTCTCTCTTGGTCATGGGAGCTGGACCCAGATGCCATCAAGGTCGCCTCATCTCAGCACCCTGAGATGATCCACCACTGCGACGTGTTCGGTCGCAAACCTCACGAGGTTCTGGCGGCCCTGTCAGCCTCAGTGCCCAAGGACACAGTGATCCTAATTTTCGCGGCTCCTCCGTGTCACGATTTTTCTCGGATCCGGAGCGATCCCCCAGGCACACAAGGTCAGGAAGGCTCCAAGTTCGTTCGGTTCGCGAGGTGGCTTAAAGAGTTTGCGCAAGCCTCCAGTTTTAGGGTGCTGTTCCTGGTAGAGAACGTGCGTATGGCCGCCTCACAGCAACGAGAACTAGACGAGGCTCTAGAGTGCCGAGCGTTCGCTTGCGACGCTGCAAGCTGGGGCGTCGTGTCTCGTCCGAGACTCTGGTGGTCGAACATGGTCAACCCACCGCCAGAAAACGTTCGCGAGCCGCCGGTCACCTTAGGAGGCCAAGCACGGTGGCGGCGACTGAACAGGCACTGGGAGATCATACCCAATAGCACCCTCTTTCCCCGACAGGTTGCGCAGTCTTGTCCTTTCGCATCCTTCAGTGAGGAAGTCAGCTCGGGGCGCATTAGGTTTCCTTGCTTAACTACACCCGCCGAGAGTACACAGGGTCGTGAACCTCCAGGTAAGAAGCGCCGCTCCGAGAGCCCAGGCACGATGGAGCGTTGGAAAGCAGCCAACCGCTCCTATCCCCCATGGCAGTTTCGCACACACGCCTTGGTGCAGGTCGCAGGCAAGAAGGACCTACCAGACCCAGCCACACGTGAGTGGCTCCAGCTTCTTCCTAGCGGGTACACGGCCTCAGTTTCGCCCCAAGCTAGGGCGAGGTTGCTCGGCAACGCGTGGCACGCCGGAGTAGCCAGACTGCTCGTGCTCTTGGTGCTTTGTCAAGCCGGCGTCATGGACGCACACCCTGTTCGCGCCGAAGAGTGGTACCCCAAGGTGCCGGACCCTTGCTTTCAGGTGCGGTGGCATCCAGACGGAAGCCGTCCCTTACAGCGGGTCGCGTCCTGGTGGTTGCGCTCGGCCCTTCCATGGGATCCGAACGAGAGCCAACCAAATGAACTCAGGTCACCAGGCGCAGGTGCCGCAGCACACGTTCGCTGGGCTCAGCAGTTGACTTACGCAGACGTGTTCCCAGCACCCCTCAATCCATGCTTAGCGTGGACCTTCCAGGTGCAAGCAAGGTTAGGTCTCAAGGTCGTACAGGTTCGCGAGTCAGTCCTCCAGGATCTGCAAGACCTGGTCGCAGTCCCTCCCAGCACACGTGGCCGCGGTCTATAGACAAGGTTCTCCACAACTAAGGTTTCAGCTCCTACCCTTAGCTTGGTTACTAGAACTGTGTCAGTTCCCTGGTTTGGCTCAGGTCGATGGATGCACAACAGCACGATCTCGGCGCCGACACGCCACCGTATCTCGGGGGCCCGACAGTTGTCGGCGGAGTTCTGCAATGCTCCGAGACTTTCGCCGAACCAGTGCTTCTGGGCGCCATAGACCACGAAGGCGCCTACAGATCGCTACCAGTTCGCGAGCCCACGGAATGCGGACTGGTGATGCCAGGAGTGTCGCCGAGTCTCTGGGCTCACGACGCCCTGCCCTTCGGGTCGGTAGGATCCGTGTGGGCCTACCTTCGGGTTGCAGACGTAGTCTCCTCCCTGACCATATCGTTGCTCCTGATGTTCGCAGCACACTATGTCGACGACTTCTTTTCCTTGGAACGCTTCAGGACGGCGATATCCGGGTTCGCGGTGTTCCAGGCATTCCACCGGGTGTTGGGTTTTCGCACGAAGGAGGAGAAGTCAAAGGAACCTCGGTTCGCTCAGACACTGCTGGGCATAGAATGGACGCTGACTGCAGAGGCGATCTTCGCCTCCCCGGGAGCCCGCAGAGTGGCGAAGTTGATTGAGACGATCACCGACTTTCTTGCTTCCGGTCGCATGTCGGCTTCGGAGTGTTCTCAACTCACTGGCAAGTTGTGCTTTACGTGCACGTGGGTCTTCAACCACGTAGGTCCATTGCTGCTCCAGCCTCTTTACCAGCGTCAACACAACGGTCCGCCTGGCTCGAGTCCTCTGACTCCCAGGCTGCAACAAGCACTGCACCAACTCAGAGACCTGTTGCCCAGGTTGCAGCCCCGACGGTTCGCGCTGGTTCCTCACGAGCGCAGACGGCCAGTCGCACACTTGTATGCTGATGCATTCCTGACAATACACGGAGTTGGCCGTGTAGCAAACAAGTGGCTGCCGGAGCTACCACCGGCCCAGGAGCTTAACACAGCCACGAACGGTTTCGGGGCGATCGTGTTCGTTCCAGGTCGCTGCCCTCTGGGATTCAGAGGAGAAATACCGTCGAAGGTGCTAGCCAACTTGGCCACGTCCAGGGCATATATATATATATATATATATATTGATTGGTTGGAAGCGCTAGCACAACTGGTCGCACTGGCCGCCATCTGCGATCTGGTCGATACCCACGTGTGTTGTTGTGGGTAGACAACACAGCAGCCGAGCACGCGCTCAACAAAGGCTACTTTAAGAACCTCAGACTCTCGGCTATTATTGGAGCTTTTTGGGTTTGGGCTGCCTCTGGGTCGCTTTCAGTCTCTTTTCACAGAGTGTCGAGCGAAGAGAACATCTCCGACGGCATCTCCAGAGGCGACCTTAGTGATCTTCAGTTCGCCCAGGGCCAGTTCCACGAGGTCTCCTTCAAAGAAGTTTGGCCACTCTTGGAGCGCTTTCACGACGACTGCCGAAGTTACCATGAGGAGTTCGCTCAGCTGGTCGCCCTTCTGGCAACACAACTTCGCTGAAGCGCACAAGGGTGGCTTCACGGTGCGCTTGAGGTGGTTAGTTCGTTGCGCCTCCTGTGAAGCCTTTTCGTTACGGAACTTTACAGTTCGAGGTCGCAGCGAGCTTGCGACCTAGTTCGCCACCGTCCGGAAGGGAAGAGTGGATAAAAAAGTGTTCGTCCGTGCGTCTGCACCCAAGCTTGTGAAGCATAGCTTGTCGTGCAGAACACGTGTGTTCGTAGTGACAAGCGTAGCGAGAACTTTCCGAGAGAAGAGCTTTCGCTGGTTCGCAGTACGAAGGCCCGAGGAAAGTACGAGCGAGCTAGCCTTTGTCGCTTTTCCCACCTCTCCCGCCCGGAAGTACAGAGTCCGGTTAGTTCGTTGCACCTCCTGTGAAGCCTGTTCGTTACGGAACTTTACAGTTCGAGGTCGCAGCGAGCTTGCGACCTAGTTCGCCACCGTCCGGAAGGGAAGAGTGGACAAAAAAGTGTTCGTCCGTGCGTTTGCACCCAAGCTTGTGAAGCATAGCTTGTCGCGAGATGACATAGGCCATACCTCAAAGACAGCTGCAACCTGCAGAAGCACTTTCCGATGCCTTGGTTTGGTCTTTCATCGCTGAGCTGATGCTCTTATTGCAGGGCAAAACTGTAAAGTCATTGCTGCATACCCATTGCATACGCATAGACCCAACGGACTGAAGGCCTGCAGCATTCAGCATTCTCTCAGTCCATGTCAACCTTGCATCTGTTACTGTAAGCCCTTGACGCTAGGCCATGGACTCTTTGGACTTTGGTCTCTTCACTCAACGCCCGAGCTTCCCGCAGTTGGTCTATCAGAGTGTACCTGTGTCTTGGACGCATGATGCTGGCTTTGGGGATCTTTGAGGCGTAGTGTAAGCCTCACCTTGCAATGTCTCCTTCTGAGTCCAGGACGTGATTGAGAAATCGGGTGTCCTCAGATTTGCAAAGGATTCATGATGTTCGGCCTGTGAGACATACAGAGACTAGCAATAATTGCAGCATGCCCTGCTGGAGAATCTGCCAGTCCGAGGTCTTTTGGATCGCGCTGGTTTCCTTATGGCCCGGGCTCCTTTCCAACTTTCTGGCCATGCTGTGGTGCGTGCCCATCGTGGAGGACGAATATCTCCAGCATGCTGAGCTAGGTTGCGAGATGTAGCAAGCGGATGCATCATGCAAGGCACATCTGCATGAGTGACATTAGGGAGTGTTAGGGACACCAGCCAGCAACACTCCGGAAAGGGCTGAGACCGTCAGTTTGCTATGATCCGCCTCAACCTTAGTTAGCACAGCGCGCGGAAGATGCAGATAGCATAGCAGTTGTAGGAATAGTCGTAGAAGACAACAGGCAATCATCCTAGTAGTTATATGTTCACTTGATCCGTCTATCTGATCATGCCTACACTGCAGTTCAAGTGTCAGACGTATCAATGTCGCATATCCTGCACCCCAAACTGCCTGGACTCAAGCCCATCCCCGAGCGCTGACACTTAATCTTGGAGGATGAGAGGGTGGTGAGCCGGCTACTCCCGAACCCAGACGTGGAGTGCTGGACCGATGCCCACTTTCCTTCGGCAGCCCTTGCAGTTGCTGGCCTTGTGCTTTGGTTCCCTGGCAAGGGTTGAGTCTCTGCACCTTTGAATCCTTCCTACATTTCCTACAAACAGCCGTGCATGTAAGGGCGAGGGCATGTAAGGGCTGCCAGGTGTGTTGGAATCCCATTGGTCCTGGCCGCCGTGCTCTTTCGTATGAAGGACCGGCAGGCGGCTGACAACTGCAGACGCTTCGGCTACTTCATCCAGGGCTTGGAGCCACAGTACTGGTGGCGGCTGGATCAAAGCTGGTTTTTTTGGATGATACTGTCGGTAGGTGCCCTGAAAACACCTGACTTGCTGCAAAAGCCCAGCCCAGGTGGGACATTCTTGTCAAGAGGATTGATGTGGGACTGATGATGCTCGTTACCTACACGTCAGCGGTGCAGGATCCGGCAACAAAGCTGCTGCTCTTTCCTGTTCTCTCCGGTTTTCAGGCAAGCTCTTCTGCAGCTCTAAACCGCCTTGATAAGGCCCCTGCCAAGACCGCATGTTTGGGATTGGATAACCTGCACCCTAAACCCTCAACATGTTCGGTGACTTGGACCTGAATTGTCCGACGCGCAAACCACCCGACAGAAACAGTGCCCCAAGCCACGGATCCTGTGTCTTCCGGCCCGAAACCCACGTCACAGAAGCCTAACACTCCGGAGCCCTGTCATCCATAACCTTCAAATCCGCAGGCTGTCGTGGCTGCCTGGGTGAAACCCTATAGCAACGACCAGGCAGAGGTACTCGACTTCGTCGAGGCGCCTCTGTGGCAGCAAAGCCTTCGGGCGGGCTTAATCCCCTCCGCCCCTCCCCCTACAATTACCCGCCCCAACGTTGAATATTTCTTACACGTAAAATAGCTGTGATATCAGGAGGGAGTTTTTATTCACAGGGGTGGGGCCCCTGGGTAAACAATGGAGGATGAAGGATATTGACTTCCACGCTGTCAGGTGACTTTGGCATTCATCCGATTCCTCCTGTTCAGTTCAGTTGCTGCCTTGATGCTTCTGAACCCTACGAACGAGATCACTACAAGGCGCGCAGGACCCTAAACCCTGCACCTTAAGCCTTTATGAGGTGTCGTAGGGCTCAAGGATTCCTAAGCAGGGTGTCCTTATTGAGCATTATCTGCCAGGTTGAAACGAGTTTTGCAGTGGGAAAGCGAGTTTGCATGGCAAACTGTAACAAAACAATTGTTTGCGGGTTCTATCAACAGCAAATGGTGGTGACGTGACTTCTGGCAAGGCATGCGGAACAGGCTCATCAGATCTTAAGACAACTCTTGCGACGAGTTCATTCGTATCAGTGTTGGAAACCTTCAACCCTGAAGCTGCCAAGGGACTTCCTCCAGAGCGCTACCCGCAGAATGACTTGTTTCAGCCGCTGTTGTCACAGCTAGTCATGCCTTTCAGCCCAAGCCCAAGTGCCACTTGCAGGTGTGCATATCTGATGCTCTTTACCCTGATCCTGACTTGGGCGTTTTTCTGCGCCCACGTGCTTTCCCAGCTGCTGCGTAGCGTGTCGGTCCAGAGCACGGACGACAACAAAATGGGGCCAATGAAGCTTGTAGGCCGGCCCATGCACTTTTGTTTTGTCAAGTTCGGGTTCATAGCATGATCATCGGTCATAGGTCCTGTTTTTGCTTGCCTTAATGTGTGCTTCACAGCTTCATGGCTGTTTACTGCTCGCCGCACAAGAAGATGGTCCCCTGAAATGCACGCCGGCTAGGTGACGTCAAGAACGCGACGCTGCGAGTGCTTCTGCCTCTGTTCCAGGAAAGATGAGGGGATGAGTAATGTGTACTCGACACCCTGTAATAGTTACTATATCATATTACTAGGGTCCTCTTATATTTCGAATATACCACTATTACAGGGTGGGGGCAAGCATCGGGCTCGAGGGCTTCACGCGCTTCGCCTTGACCTGACAACCTTGAGCTTTGGTAGTACTATTAAAGGCAATAATCATACTAGTGATAATCGCAAGAATAGTGCAAGTAGCAATAACAGCAACAGTAGTAGTACGTGTATTGATGGTATGATAGTTGCTAGAAGCAAGTGCACAGCTGACACGTGCCAATTCGGGTAGCCACAGCTGCGAAAACCTAGGGTCTAGGCTTAGGCTGGCTTTCCTCAACCCTAAACCCAAAGCCCTAAACCCTAAACCTTGGGAGCAGTCGGCCTCTTCGTTGCCCTTGCAGGAAGAGGAGACTGAGAAGCTTCGCCTCACTTGGTCTTTCACGGAACAGGAGATCACAGCTGCTTCCATGCATGTGCAGTAAGCCGGACAGAGCCAGCAATTTGGCAAGTGTTTTCGGTTCCGAAGGTCTTATGAATCGGAGTTGGTGGTTTGGGCTTAGGCCGTTGTTGATGAAGTGCTGCCATGCCCTGAGTATCTGAGACATGAACCTGATTTACACTCAGAGTACGCTGAGGTTGCAGCTCCACGACTCAACAGGGCCTCCTTTGCAGTGGCCACGCGGAAGCTGAGAGTCTTGGCGAGATTATGTTTCATCGAGTGGGTATCGCAGCTGTAGATCGTACAGTTCACCTGTGTGGGTTGCTGCCAATGGCTGCCTTCCTTTACTAAGAACCTCAGCCTGGGGCTTGAAAATGTGAAATCACGAGCTGCAAGCCCAGACATCCAGAACCTGCAGCGTTTCTTTTTTTTTTATGGGCCGGCAGGTTCGAAAGTGCGGGTTGCACTGCAGCGGGCGCGCGGGAAAGTGCTGCGCATGGGTCCTTCCTTCCAGCATGCCGTGCTCGTCAAGGACCCAGCTTAAGCACGAAATGAACCATCAGAGTCTTGATGGGCCTTCCTTGACCAAGAGATACCCTAAACCCTAAAACTCCTAAAACCCAAAAGTCTAAAGCCAACCCCTGGAACTTTGAACCCAATATGGAAGGCCAATGAAGAGTTCATGACTTTTTGGCTGCAGCAACTGGGGCGAAGTGACTTTCCCAGAGAAGGCCGGGTTTTTGCGGCTGTGAAGTTATACCCGTAGTCTACACTCCCAATACAGGTGGAGACATAGAGACATGGGGGGATACACAGGGTTCCTGTCATGGGGACATTAAGGGGGATGCTAGGACCCGCTAGGAGCTTAGACCAGCTCCGGGCTTAACTCTACTTTCGGGGCTGGCGGTTCATAACACTCCTTTACAACGTCGAGCCATGTTTCCACATGTGAGATGTGTGATGTGTGTTGCTCATCACAGAGTGTTTCCAGGAGGTGGGGGCTGTTCGGGTCATGAAAAGGCAAAATCCCTATGCCCTTCGGACATGAACGATGTTTCCATGCCATAGGCGGGGGAATGGAAAGGCAGAGTGTGCATGAAAGCATGTTGCAGCTGGTCACTAGCACCCCAATTTTCCTTACTTGCCAGTGATCTTCAGAGATTGTTGGGTTGGTTGGGCTGCTGCGGTGGTCGGGATGTTTGGGACGGTCGCTTGCTTGAGGTGGAGTCGGGCAAGGAATGCTTGGAGATCAGGGCTGAAAAGAGCATGGAGCCGCCAAGAACAAAAAACCCTGCAGGAAGGTGCCGGGGTCGAAGCCGTTGAAGCCTTGTGTGGGGTTCCATGCCTCCATATGCCTCCCGTAACCCGATCCAGTGCTGGGCCTCCTTCCGTGCCCCAGTCCGCATGATCAACCCAAAACCTCAGCCCATGATTTTTGAGGTGGAGTTCTGATGTGCATCCTGGCCACGGCCCACAAAGCACTTCCTGGACTCCTTGCCAGAAGCCGAATTGGCCCATTGTGGACGGCGCAGGCAGGGTGTCGGGTTCGCCAGATTTGGGTTCAAGAATGAAGACACAGTAGGACTAATGCTAAAGGGTCGGGTGCTCTGAAGAACGGATGTGTTAGCAAGGCTTGGATGCATGCGCTGCCGTTGCTTCTCACGGCTGCTCATGCGTGTTGGCTCTCCCGGCGCTACGGACATACGGACGCTTTACTTTTGAATGCTGCATCTGCTTGTACTTTCTATGCGTAGAGAGACGTTCAAGTTTAAAGACTATGCAATCGTTTAAGCCTTGACCGTCTTGACCCATGTTTTAGTTTGCGCTTCGGGCTTGACATGCCCGGCCTAGAAGTGGACGACTGAGCTGGGGGCTCTGGGAGCGCATGAACTTCGAGAGCAACATCCCTAAGCCTCGAACTCCTCAGCCTCACAAGCAGGTCGATCTATTGACCGCGAGCACAGGGCCTTTCACTTGCGGCCCCGAGGACTCTTGTTCTGGGGCTTAGGTTGGAATGCGTGTCGGCATCTGTCACAGTCGGACAAGAGGTTTGCAGTATGGCCTCCATATGGACTTATGATCTTCATGTCAGGCTTCAGGTCCAGGCACCACTGCCGCGCAAAGGACAGGGAACGCTGGAACCAACACTTGAGCACCGGCCTTCTGAGGGATAGTCTTTCGCATTTAGCGGCATACTGCCAGGGTGGAGCCTTAGTCTTAGTGCCCAGAGGATTTGTCGCGGTCTGTGTGGCGACTGGGCCAAATGCCCGCTGATGATGCGGCGGAGCTGGTCCAGCACGTTGTGAGCCTGTGCCCCGGCGACTTTGGAAGTGAACACCAAAACCCAACACCTCTTGGATTGCAGTGCTCATGTCTGCAAAGGCAAATTTCTGGGGGTTTCCAGCTCGACTGTAGGAGCGTAGCAGGTCTACCGGGCCCCTGGAGAAGCCTCCATTGCTATTCCAAGCAGAAGCCCCTGGGCACTAAAGTAGGAACCCTCGATCAGAATCAGGTGCTCGCATGATCGCCGGCCGGAGTCGGAGTCGGAATACCTGGAGATGTAGGCCAATACATTCAGCGCAGATGTCGGGTGTTTTGCGGGGACTTGAGCTGAAGGGCTGCAGCCCAACCTAAACCGCTGGGACCGTTTGGTTTGCAGGGGGCAGTGTTCCCCAACCGGTTGAAGGGAGTAAGACCCGTTTTGGGATCTTCGTTAATGATAGAGATTCTCGCTGTTGGAAGGTTAAAGAAGGATGGGATGGCCTCACTTTCGGTCCGCTGAACACGTGGTACTGTGCTCACAGTCCCGAAACATAACTCCAGTGACGAAACGCGAGGCCGATGTGCCAAACACGGTCCGAATAAGGGCAGCCTGGCTATTGAAATCCTAAACCTTAAAATTGGTGCTTGACAGCTGCATGGCCCCTTCGGTCCCGTGATCTGGCAGCTGAGCGGAATCACTGGTCGTTTCACTGACCCTCTGCACCCTCAGATCTACTTACTGCCTGCGGGCAGCGTTGCAGGCCCTGATTCTGCAAAGCAGATGCTCGGTTTTGAAGGCCTTGAACTTCCTTTCAGGAGGCCTGTGCCTCGGTGCTCAGGAGGTCCTGAAAGCTTACCTCGAAGCATGCCCCCGAACATAAACCCGCCGAAACATGCCCCCGAAACGTACCCCACTCCAAACATGCATTTTCATACCTGTACATGTCATTCAATACAGTACAGTAGCACACATACAAGTACACGAACGAATCATCGAATAGAAAAGGAACTGGCTGAATGAAAAGCTGCATGGAGAGACGAATAAACAGATGAATGAATAAATGAACAGAAGAACAATGTGGAATATTCAGTTGCAGTGCCGGTGAAGGCACTTGAATCGGCAGGCCCTCTACAAGCATGCAGTATCCCGGGAGTGTTTCCGCACTTTGAAGATGCGACCAGCTCCCAAGCTTCTGCTGGAAACCAGCAGATTAAATTCGTGGTAACGTGTGCGTACACATCCTCCGCGACGGGAGCCAACTCTCAGCTGTGGAGTCCCAACAGACCAGCTACGACCCGGATCCACCGGTTACATAGGGCAACTGAATCCCGCTGTGGAAGGTCTTGTAATCCAGACGTAGTTCTGCAAGCTTACCTGCGCATCACTGCGCATGACTGTGCTCACGGGCCCATGGTGGAGTTTCTCGAACATCTTCCCATGCTTGGCCCGGTTCCATGTGTGGTGCTTCAGACTCCTCTCTTTCGATTCAATCTTCTCTCGCCCGTCAGAGCCGGGGGGCGGCATGGCCGTGCCCTGTGTTGCCGGGGTTCCTTCTTTCGCATCTTTCGCCCGCCTGAGCCGGGGAGCGGCGTAGCCGTGCCCTGTGTTGCCGGGGTTCCTTCCTTTCTGCCTGTCTGGCCGGGGGGCGGCCTGGCCGCATCCTGCGCTGCCGGGGCTTTCTTCTCTCGGGGGGTTTTTATTCCACGTGCCTCAAGGGACACGGTTTTTCCCCTCCGGTCTCACTGATGAAGCTCGAAGACCAGTGCATCTCAGCTACGGCCTCATACTTGGAGACCGCATTGCCAGCTACATCTAAAAAGTCTGGCTTGGAAGAGCCCTTCATGGCCGCATTTGCATACAGATCTATGTTGGGCTGTGCTCTCTTGTTCAGAACACTGGTTGGTCGTGATATGACAGTCACATGCTACCTGAGCGATTCAAAGCCCAAGAGCTTCTACAAGCTGATAGAATACCAGGACAGTCGAATTGGGTTGTAAGCCCATGACTTCATTTTACGAATCCAAAGCGACATAGATGCTGCGTGGACCCTAAGCCCTAAGTACAGCTGCAACACGATTTACCAAGCGTACCTTTCGCGTGTCATGCAGGATCTTTCTTATGAGCAGGGTGTCTGGTTTCCGTGCTGTGTCGTTGCAGCTTTGGCTCTAATCTGAGATGGTTGGTTAAACAAGATCCGAAGTGGCTGGGGCGCTCCCGCTGGTCGGACGACATGAAGCGCAAGGCTGTATGCGTTGCTGCTCAAGACGATTTCGGCGAGTCATCCGATGACTTGGAGATGGAGCCCTTGCTTAATTAAACTTTGATGTCTTTTCCAGCCAGTGGTCCCCTGGTTTCCTGATTTCGAGCCATGCAAGGTCGCAAAAGTCAGCTTGAAGAAGACACGGGAAACAAAAGTTGCAGTTGCAGAAGAGAATACTGGATCCCAACCCGGAGCAGACACTGCTCCGGCAGAAGCCTCAGATTGAATTGGCAGGTGTGTTTGTTGCGCAAGGGCTCTTCGTCCAATCGTGCCAGGTGTCATCGCCCAAAAGCATTCCGGTTGCAATCAGACATGAAAATCACTTGTCTGCTTAACACAGGTGTATCGCTCCTCCCTGCTAGGTGAACCTCGGAGAAGGAAGTGGCTTGACCGAGCTTTGCAAGCCGAGCTTGCTTTGTAAGTCGGCATGCCGCTTTGGCTTGGCCCAGGAAGGAATTCGCTTGGATGGACTCGGATTCTGATGAGGGCGAGACAGAGGATCTCGAGTATACCATGGTCCAGAAGCGGCATGTGTAGGTATGTATGTGAGTATGTACGTATGTATGCTGTATGTATGTATGTATGTATGTATCTATGTGTATATGCATACGATAGGTTGTTGTGTGGAGCGCAACGGCATCTTAGGCTTGTGTGGGTTTAGTAACGCCGCGTTTGGGCTGGCCCATGCCACGCATGTAGTGTGTTTGCGCGGCAGACCCTCCAACCTGCCCCAACCTGCTAGGCATTCCCCAGATGCTTTCTGGTGACAGGAGAGGGATCAGAAGGCGGATCCAGATGCATCCTTGGATGAGTCAGCGAAGCAGGCTCAGGTAGTGGCCTGGTTTTATCGCGTTTCAGCCCGCTCGCATGGTGCTCTTGTAATGCTGCGAACGGACCAGGAAGCATCGGGAAGCGAGGACGAAAATGCAGATGTTAGTGCTGGCACTTTGGATGGAGCCACATGTCTGCAAAGTCCCTGGTCATCGCCTCCCTAAGTACTTGCTCGCTTCGGTTCTTGGCTGTTCGAGGTGGAGACATTTGGGAGAATGATGGTGCTTGCTCCTGCGTTGCTCAAAAAGCTTCCAAGGCAATGCATGGGAACCCTCCTTACCCGAGCATCTCATGAAAGTAGAAGGATTCAAGCAAACAAACGGGACATTCTGGGCACCTAGTCAGATTTGTTTAAAACTCTGGGCCATTTTACCGGAACATTCTTCAATTCTGAATCATGATGAATTCTGCATCACGGCAATCGTAAGTCTGAGTCAGTTCTGCTTTCAAGATTCCACGATCAGCTGTAGTGACTGTACAATGCCAGACCTCCGGGACCTGCGCGATCAAGCTTTTACGTGTTTGTGGACGGAAACAGTTTGGCTAAGTGTTGAAACCTTTGTTCTGCCTCTGTGCATGAGCTTCTGGATTGTCTCTGCCAGGATGTTGCCCGAAGATGCAGCTGCTGCTTGTCGGGCGCTTTCCAGAACCAAGTTTTTCGACAACGACATTATCAGGCCCGTCGTCTATGCAGTCACAGGCTTAGAAATGCAGCAAAAGTTGCATACTGGGATGCACAGACGGATCATATTCTGCACGGGATTTCATTGGACCTTCGCGTAGCTAGCCAGAGCATCTTCTCCTTGTCTCAGTCTTTGTGAATGCCCGGTGTGCAGGGCATTGAGTGCCTTGATGAAGAGGTGGGCAGTTTGGGTCTTGCCTTTGCTTTCGAGACGAAAGTACTGCGAGATTGCAAGAACAGACGCCCCTTTGTTTCTTGGTATGTGAGCATGCGGCTCTCCTCGGCATGTTGCCCTGCGAGGCTATTGCTGAGAGACAGGCTGGATGAGAATTGCTTTTCACCGTTTAGTGTGGTTACAAAGATTGTTTCTGCAATCTGGATGTGCATCCGAGTGAATCCAAACCAAGAGTACACAAGTGTCATGCTATCTCTGCGAGGCTAAGTATTGAGCAGGCAGATGATGCTTTTTGGCTGAAGTGATTGAGAGCCTTCCTGCTTGCTACAACGTATGTTGGTCTGCTTTGGGTAGAAGCTCGAGGTGCTTAGATGTATGGCGAGCCTGAACATCTATGATGAGGGTGTTACTCGGCAGCAGTCGCAAGGCAACTGCGAAGCAGTTGTAGCATTACAGCTTCGGTCATGGGAAAGCCACAGGTGTTCAGTGCAATCGCCAGACAAATGAAAGTCCGGACGTCCTCCTTGGACCAGGCTCACTTTGATCGCCGAATGCGTCAGGAAGTTATCAGACTCACATGCAGGCTGTACGGGGCCAGTGGTATGACATCTACAAGGACCGCACCGACATGTCCCAACACAACAGCTGAATCACCGAAGACTCCCGCCGCATCTGTCGCTGTCTGGTTTTCCCTTCGGGGCCCGTTTCCTGGTGTCATTCTGACTCAAGCCCGCCGTTTGTTGTGTTTCGAACCTTCGATTGCAGTGTGCTTGCCCGAGCATCTGCGCACGGAAATCAGATTCGAGGATGAACGATCGGCACACGTTCGTCTGCCCCTAGGCCCTAGTTGTGATGCATGACGAATCCTGCCTGGCAGGGCTTCAAGCACAGCTTCTCCGATGGCAATTGTATCTTCAGTTCGGAAGCTCAGTCGGGTAACGAGGGTGAAATTGAAAGCAGAGCCCAGGCGGTGACAAGGACTTCTATCAGCTGCTGGAAGTTCCGCCTCTCAATGCCCTCAACCCAGGCTACAAAAGGCTTGCGCAGTAGCTTTGCAAGGCATGAGCAAGTACAAGCAATCACCTCAAGCTGCAGTTCCCACGTGTTTGCCAGGTGTAGGTACGTACGTTTCGCTAGTCTGAAGAGTGTCGCCTTGCAAGAGAGGCTGCGGTGTTTTCATCATCAGCGCGGTTGCTGCGCGGTGGGGGAGGCCTTCCCACAGCACCTTGAAAGACTGCAAGTTCTGCCGCACTTGCAGTGTCAAGGTGTAAGCATGGAAAGGAGCTCTTCTATCTCTCCTGTGGCCAAATGAAAACATCGGGGTTTAGTTTGTTAGGAAGCCTTATCACTTAG